ACGAAACCGTAGTGAGCGACAAGACTTTTGGAATGATGTAGACAGGGATAGATACAATGCTAGGCCGCCAACAGCGAGGGTTTTGGCACGTGTTTTGGGGGTACGAATCTCGTCTTATTCTGTCGTTTACTCGTAACTGAAAGAAGTGATTTGTAGGATGCCGCGTGCGTAAGGGGAATCGCAGATATGGTGTGAGAGCTGACTCCTAAAGGGCCTGCAAATGGATCACGACAACGAAAGTCCTCGGAAGCGCTCACATGCCGCTTAGGGTGAGCTTGAAAAGTCTCGGGAGGCTTGACGGGAGATAAAATCGTGGTAGTCTCGATACGAGCAATATCTATACCAAGGAATGTCATTGGAGAAGCACAAGACACAAAACCGAACTTACGAGAGACAAAAAACATCGTGGAAAGTACCCAGAGGAGCAACGAGAATCCACGAGTCAAGTAGAGGGCAAGATTCGTATGTGGCATTTGAGCTGCGGCAATAATGATGTTCAACACCTGGCTGAAGAGTGCCACAAGCCAAGCTCGATAATGATTTTGCGAAGCATTCCATTTACGACAAGCAATGACGATCCATATCAAAATATTTCCGGTAAAAATGGTTGTCAGAGTTGAGGTGACGAAAGATGCGACAAAGAGGTTGTTTTTGAGGCAATGGCTTGTAGTGTTGAGCACGAATGCTAGATCAGCTGACTTCAGCGGGCTAATAGATACATATAGATAATAAATCTCACTGGCAAGTGCCAATACGGAGATGATCCAGGCCATTGCAGCTTGCGGAGTGTAATCCATTGCTGGGCGCGTGAGGAGCGAAGACACAGTAGAAGGGTGTATCATATAAGCCAACAAAAAAGAAACTAGATGAATAGATCAGCTAATGGTTTATATTTGCGTTCCATAAGCACTCACGACCCAATCTGACGAGCTCTTGTAGAATGGGTTCAGCGAGGACTAGACGGTAATTTTCTGGATGGCTGAGCTTAATCAGGCCAATTAAACCCGATAAAGCAAGAAGGGCGGCAAGAAAAAGTGATGTACAGACGAAACGAAACCGTAGTGAGCGACAAGACTTTTGGAATGATGTAGACAGGGATAGATACAATGCTAGGCCGCCAACAGCGATAGATAGAAACGAAGGAGACGCTTGCAAGAGCAGCTGCATTTGATACAAGAGTTAAGAGAAACTTTAAGGAAAAGGGGCGCAGGAGGTCAGGTTCCGATCGCGGGGTCTTAGCGTGAGCGTGAGCGGTCACCGTCGGGGTTTGAAACCGTGTTTCAATCTCGACCGCAACGCACCCTCAGCGCCGCCAGGGAGGTTAACCAACTTCAAAAATGTCTTCAGAAATGTCGACGAGACTGTTTGCGACATCCTCCTCCGATTCCTCTCGACAGGGCACGCCTTTGCCTGCCGGTGTGCCTCGAGGCATGGTCGGTGACCAACGAGCCAAAACGCCTCCACGGGAGCGGCGGTCCTCGTTTGCGCTCCCAAATGATTCATCAGAGTCGGACTGCATCAGACAAAGACATATGGCAGCAAAAGCAAGGCATCGCCAGTATGTCGCATCCACTCACACAACAGGTCGTGTGATAGCTAACGATAATGTCACTATTATCCCAGATCCAAATTAAAACCTAATGTCGACCGCATGTTGCCTATCATGCCCTCTCCATTTTTCACTTTTCACTGTCCTGTCCCCAAGAATCACGGTCATTTACCGGCTCGTACAACGAGAAAGGCGGGTTCTTATGCACCCGAAGGGAAGGGCCAGGCCCATCATGCATATACGACACATAATATATCACAGGATCCTTACGCTTTCATCAGAGAACCGAAAAGGCCCAAACCAGTAGCCAACCCCTACGACCTCCCCTCTTCTGAAGATCTGATCCCTCCCAATCTTCGGTTACTTGACGAAGACGTGGAGATGATGGACCTTGACGAGGATTTGAATTCACCGTTGTATTCGCAACCATTGGAAGACCCTTTTCATTAGGACAATGTTATGGACTTGTATTTTCCTTGTATTTGCTGGATGGGTTCATGGTGATTCTCGTTTGCTTTTTATTCTCCTGTCGAGTCTACTACTTTGTATTGGCATAGAATAAGTTGGGCTGTTATACATTGCTGCTAACAGAAGACATCCCTAAGATAAGTCAAAACCTGCACCAGAAGTGATGGCATGTAGAAGCTTTCGTCGCATCGTTTCCTCGTCCTGATACAATGGAAGCTAGTGGACTTGTCAATAAAATCGGGGGAGAATGGGTTTGTGTACTTGCCTTTAACAAGTTGACACAAGTGCTGGCAGTGGGCAGTCGTGAAGTATCTACACCAGCATCACGGATTGCGAACTTCGGATATAGCTCTTTGAACCCACTAGAACGGGTTAGGATGGCATATCACAGAAGAATGAAACTGCTTACAGCAAAGGTGGTCTGGCACAGCTAGTCACGAAGCGTAGAAGCTGCCTTCGCTTGTCTTGATCCAAGCTCTTCACCACTCTCCAGAACATTCGTATGACAGCATGGTTTTCATCATACAATCCGCCGTAGACGACATTGTCTCTCAAATCGTCCAGGTCGATTGGCTCTTCTGCTCCACCCACCAAGACTTTTAATTCCTGTTGATTAAACATTCTGAGCCATTTTGGATCTATGATTTCCGAAAGTCCTTCAAAGAATGCATCTGTTTGTTTCTTGATCTGGCGTGTAAGGCGATAATGAGAGACCAGGTAGATGTATTCTATCCTATTCTCCTTGGTAACCGGTATATTTCCGCCGTTCGGTTTGAGGTTTACCGTACGAGTAACACCAAAATCTTGAGATAAAGTCAGCGCCATCCGATAGATCAGAGATTCTC